CCAGCGGTCCCGAGACCCGCGGGCTGTCCAGCCTCCTCCGCGATCCCCCGGCCCCCTGCCCGCTCCCGATTTCCCGGGAAGGCGCAGGGGGACCCGTCCCGATGCCTGCGGCCCGTATGGTAACACGGGCCGGGCCGGAGCGGAGCCGTGCAATGCCGAGGCTGGGCTGGGGTTCGCGGTTTGGGTCCGTTCAGGTCCCCCAGCCTCAGCACATGAGTTGCTCTTTCAAACGGCCTGTCCCAGCTGTGCTGGACGGCTCAGGCCCGCCTGGGCACCCGGCTGAGCGCGGCTATTCCGAATTCCCTCGTTGTGGCACCACAGCTCCTTCCCGGCCCCGGCGGTGCAGCCTCACCTCCCGGCCTATCGTGAGCACAGCTGCAGCTCCGAGCGTGTAGCTGGTGCCACTTGGGCTTCCCTTCTTTTGATGGCAGCACAAGCACCAAACAAGGCTGAGTGAGAGGAAGCTCAGTCCTTCCCCAAAGTAACTTTCCCAGCCCCTGGACTCCCAAGTCCCCACGGCTGTCCCCCTGGTTTTATCATGGTCAGAGCTCACCAGTGTGTCCAGTCCCTAATGCAGGCATGACTGTGGTGGCCCTCAATGGGAAGTTTGCTTTGCACCATTAGTGCCTTCATCCCGCAATAGCAACTCCTTATTTCCCTCCTTACAGATGCCACCCAAGTGTTTTCAACTGTTCAGCAGAATCTCATGGCTGAGTGGTTCTCTGCCTCCCTGAGCCCACAGAAACCACCAAAACCTAGTGACAAAACCAGGCAGCTCCAGAAAGGCAGCAAGGGGACAATTACGGTTTCACCACCAGTTGTTTGGGGGTTGAGATTATGCCAACTCCCCACACATTCCAGAAAAACTGGTCCAAGTGGTTGGAAAAGCAGAGGCCTTCAAGGGCTGACGACCAGCTCAGGGCAAGTTAGAGCAGGGCTATAGCTCAGGGAAGGCAAAGAAAAAGGGGTTCAAGGAGCTGGTGTGGCTTTTAGCTGCCTGACCAGCCACAAAACCACCTGGTTTCATGGTTCAGCCGTGGGTGTCAGAGCCGTCATGGATAAGAAATTTCTGGAGAGAAAGAAGCCTGGGAACTTTTGGGGCAGAATAATTAGTCCTGATTTCTAACAAAATTAGGATACAGACTACTGGGGGCTGCAGCTATCAGCTGCGCATGGACTGTGCTACAAAGGGAATCATGGCAAGAGAGGAAGGCCAGATTCCCCATGGGATGAAACACTGGATGACAAGGACCCAAACAGTGTCCCAGGCTGGGTCTCCCTTACATCAGAGATCCACCAGCCACTGGGAGCATGGCCTCTTGAGGCAGCAACCTAGGCCTTCCTGAGCACAGCATCACAGAGAAGCATTGCAGTCATGGGAGGCTGTAAGGCAATTCCTTCAGTAGGTGCCTGGGGTGCTGCTGGGGTCAGAGGAAGTGTCCTGGGACCACTGTCATGGATTTACACACACCAGACAATGTAACAGGGCCTGACCCTGGGACCCTGCAAAGAATGCTGGGTTCAAGTGAATGTTTCCAATGAATCTTTTGTTAGTTCTTTGGTTACAGCCGAAGCTGGTGCTTCCAGAGAGGAACCCCTACCCCAATTTACACCTCTCACTTATACCCCTGACACTCATTACCCAATCCAAGTCAATCACTAAATTCTGGTTGGCAGTATCTTGATTTCTTGCTGGAAAGAAATAAATCAAGAATTCTTTCACTGGAGCTGGGCTGGCTGCCTTCTGATATTGCTTTATTCTCCTGGGATTGTCTCCTTAGCCCTTATCATCTCCATTCTGCTCATATCTGCTGAATTCCAAGAGTGCTTTCTTAGCAGCATCGTTTTATCGAAAGTCTCTGTTTGGTCAGCTCTTACGGCCTAAGGGCCTAAGGCTTTGGCTACTTTCAGGTGCTAAAGCTGAGCCAGCAGTGCTAAAGGAGACTATTCAGGCAGGAGAATATAGCTCATCAATTTCTGCTGTAGCGTCAGCACTGAGCTGCCCAGGACCCCTGTGCCTCTGTCCGGTCCCACAGTTCTGCACGCTCCCTGTATTCCCACTGGTTCCCTGAATTCCCGCACTTTCCCTGTATTCCCACACTTTCCCTGTATTCCCACTCGTTCCCTGTATTCCCACACTTTCCCTGTATTCCCACTCGTTCCCTGAATTCCCACACTTTCCCTGTATTCCCACTGGTTCCCTGAATTCCCGCACCCTCCTGCATTCCCGGCCGCGCTCCCTCTGTGACACCGCAGGCGAGCGCGGCCGGGGGGGCAGAGCCAGCCCGGGCTCGAGGCCGTGCCCGGCACCGGCGGCAGCCACGGCCACAGCGTGACCAAAGGTCACCTGCGCCGCCCCGGCAGCGCCGCCGCCATGCCCATGTGCGGAACTGATTCCTCCTTCGCCGGGAGGGGAAGCGCGGGGTGAGTGCCGAGGAGCGTGAGCAGGGCCCTGCTGGGGACAGCCCTGCGGGGGCAGCTCCGCGAGAGGCACCGCCATGGCCCGGCAGGAGCGGGAGAAGAGCGTGGCGGAGCAGAAGGTAGCTGGCATCTCCCGGAGGTTCTCCTTCCTGGATGCCGCCCAGCCCCGAGCGGGCGGCCTGGCCCGCAGCTCCCATCTCTGGTCAGCCACCCTGGGGAGCAGGGAGCGTTTCCATACGCTGCAGAAGATGGACACCAACAAAAGCATCAACTGGGGCAGGCACAGCCTGGGGAGCTGGGGCAGGACTTCAGGCAGGTTCTCCGCTAGCCCCAGCAGTACCCGGAGGAAGGAGCTGAAAGAAATCCTCCTGCAGAGCAACAGCCCTGGCAGCACTATGAGGTTTGCCGCTGTTCAGCAGACATCTAGAAGGAGCAGTCTTCCTGCAGGGCTGCACCAAGAAGAGAAGCCTGAGCAGAGCCCTGATCTGCTGCCCCTTGTCCTTGATCCTCTGGAGCACGCATGGCTGCTGACGGTGGCTGAGGGTGATGCAGACAGCATCATCAAGCTGCTGGACCTGGATCCCAGCCTGCTGACCAGGAGAGACTTTGTGACAGGGTTCACTGCTCTCCACTGGCTTGCCAAGCATGGCCACCATGAGAGCTTCATCCAGGTCATCTCCCATGCCCAGAAGAAAGGCTATCCTGTCAACATGAACATCCCCACAGCCAGTGGTGGGCTCACCCCTTTGCACCTGGCTGCCTTGCAAGGACACGAGGTGCTCATCAAGTTGCTGGTGGGAGCTTATGGGGCAGACACCACCTGCAGGGACCACAATGGGCGCAAGGCTTGGCAATACCTGCCGGCAGACACCTCCAGAGACCTGAAGGAGCTGGCAGGGGCCTTGGAGGAGGACTTGGTCCAGCTGCACTCTCACAACACCAACAACAACTGTAAGTCATCCAGAGAGGCTGCGGCAGGGCAGGACTCTGTGGACTCTGGGGCCAAGGGAAAAGCCGAGCACTCCTGGAGCCTGTCGACCCTCCGAGGCTTTGTTAGACAGGCGTTTGCTTTCTTCCATGAGCACTGAGGCTCTCCTGGCTCCATTCACCAGTAAACCCATGCTGGATGGCAGCAGGAAAAGCGTGCAGGGAGCCGGGAACTTGGGTGCCCAAAATCCTGGCCAAGTGAGGGTTAAGCCATGGCACCATGGCCATCCTAGGTCTTGTGGTCTTTTAGAGCTGTTCTGGTGTGTGTGTGTGGAACACCATGGCCACTGGGAGCAGTAGCTTGGGAGAGCCCTTCCAAAAACTGCAGAGGGGGTTATGCCCCATGCCCCCGTGGGTGGTGACTCCTTGTTGCATCCCAGCAGATCCCTGTGGTCGGGGCTCACATATCAGCTCTGCTCTGGGGAACTGCTCCAACACCTCATGTGCTCACAGGAGACCCACCATGTGTGGATCTGCAAACGCTTTCCAGCTCCCTGTGAGATCCCCTGATCTCTGCCACATGCACCTTCTCTGGGTTGATATTTGTTTATGACAGCTTATTATAAAGCTGATTCTCTGCAGAGTAAGAGCTAAGGGACCTGTTTGTGAAGAAGACTCCAGGCCAAGAGAAGAGAAGCCTTTCACTCACAGTGGCACCCTTCCCTTGAAATCCCCATCCCTGAAATGGGATTTCAGGAATTCCTGAATTCCTTCAGGAAACCTGAAATGCTCAGCCTCTTTAGGAATAGGGGCCAGAGCAAAGGAAGCAGGAAGGGACACAAAGGGGGCAGCATGTAGTGGCTCCTGTGGGGATTAGAGTTCCAGAACAGCTCTGGAAAGATGATTCATTCTCAGAAACTGTGGAAAAGGTATGTGAAGGCTGCGAGACGAGATTATCTTTATTGCTACTGAGGGCATGCTCAAAAATGAAACTCATGAACATCACTGCAGCAACATTACAGTGCATGTATGTCTCTGTCACTACATTAAAAGGGCAAAGCCTCTGCTCGCCTGATTGTGTTTTGTTCACCTAGTGGAGCTCTGCCCTAATGATTTCAACTTGCTTTTTACGTTCTCAAAGGCCAAGACTGCTTCAAAATATCTTCAGAAAAACAACAGCCCCTTCCTCTTTCTCATCAGCATGAGACTATTCCTACACCCTTAAATAGCAGTCCCATTTGAGAAGTGCTTCTTCACAGAAGCACTGTGTCTGTTCTTCACAGACAGGAACCGGGAGTTTCTGTTCCCCAGAGCAGCCCTTGCAGGGACAACTCCTTTAGGAGGGCAGTTGTGGTTTCTTTCCAGCTGCCTTTCAGGGAGTCTGCAGGGGTGACCAAGGGACTCAAGGTGATCTGGCCTGGCTACACAGGTGTATTTGCATCTTGATGCAGAAAGATACACAAACACACACGGGTAACTTTCTCTGGCGAACTAGAGCTGAGGGGTTTCACAGATCCTAAGCAAACTCCAGTTATATTCAGACTATGTTTTGAAATGCTGCTTGGACACCAAAATAACCCAGTGTGCAGTAATGACATGTGGAAGAACAGCCTCCACATGAGTGAACAAGGATCCAGTGACTGGGTAATGCCCAGTCCAGGTGCCTGGGTGGACATATAGATGTATCTGGACATCTTTTTAATTCCAGAGGTCAGCAGCAGATACATATAAAACACACTACAACTAGATTTAATGCCTGATTTACAACAGTTTTGTAATGCTTTAGCTCTAATGGATTGAAGATGTTGGCAATATATCTCCTTCTGGACTTGCTGTGGCCATGTCCATGCCACGGGAGAGCAGGCTGGCTTCGCAGAAGTCTGCTCATGCCAGCACAAACTCCATTAACAGCACCAGTATCATGTTCTGGTAACCAAAGTGCTGTTGGTAAGACAGGCCTGACAAAATATTTTTTAACCTATTAGTCTTGTCACCCTTTGCAGCGGTCAGGGAAGGGGCACAGGATGGCTCTTACATCCTCCACTGAGTAAGGCACAGAGTAAACAGTGGAATTAATGAGAATTTCCTTGAAGGAGCCATTTCCTTGGCAAGAGCACCTGTGGCTTAGTCATGCTCCACCCAGAAAGATCAACTTAAATGTTCCATTTGAAAGTAAAATTTCACTCACAAATGCTGCACCTAAATACAGCAAAATGATTTTCAGTAATTGCCTCCCTTTGAGAGATAACCAAAACCCTCTAAAGACAGCTTTTCCCCCCATCTTTTGGTCATAGGTTTGACCCTGTATTCTATGCTGTGATAAACTGGGCAGGGACTTCAGAAAGAGCAGGACCAGAACTCTGCTTCTCTAGATGCGTTACAACATCCTCACCATGACATCCCCTGCCTTGGCTGGGTTCCTTTCCACTGAGCAATAAAAATAAATAAATTTTCTTCCAGTGACCTACCCCTTTGTCTCACTCAGTTAATTTCATACCTACAGAAAGGAAGCTGATTTGGATATAGAGACATGTTTAAAAATATTCCTCAACAAAATATTGTATTTAAAAATACAATCATCTCTAACTCTGCTTTTCACTCGGAAAACATATCCACCAAAATCAATGGACTAGAACATCCAGATATTTTTTTTCTTTAAAGCTTCTGTTGATGTCTCAGTTATCACGTGTTATCCCAGTTCTGCTGATTCCTGATCTCCTCTCATGTGGAGGAGTTCTGCAGAAGATTGAGTTTAACCTAAGTTTAATTTGTACTAAATTTGTGTTATCCCTTAATGCCCAGTTTGAAAAGCAGATTCAGTCAAACAGGGACAGTAACACAAGGGTTTATTTTCCAAAACAGTTCCTTAGTTCTTAGAAGCTACTTCCTAAAGTAAAAATATTAGTCATCATAGTAATAAGGAGACTTTCTAATAAGTAGTAATAAATTGTTCAATCTATTGCTCAGGAAAGTTTTCCCACAAATGCCACGGACAAAACTATCTCTTTCCATTCTCAAGTCTGTAAAATTACTGTTTCCTCCTCAGCCAGATCCCCATAGATCCAATTACAGAGAAACTCTATAAGCAGCTTTGCCTGCCAGCAGTGATGTGGAGAGGCTGGAGGAGGTTCGCTGGAAACCAAGGCAGAACTCCAGTCCTGAGCAGTGCTCTTATTTCCTGAACACTCACTTCAAAAAACGTATGAGGTTTAAAAATCATTGGGGTCAAAGTGGCTGCAGCACACAAGCCTCTGTTGAAACATCTCTGGCAATGGTGTTTGCTGCTTTCCTGTCGCAGTGCCTTACTGCTTCCCCCAATGATGAACTAGTCCAGACTCCTACCAGACAGGATAAGAAGCTTGAGGATACCTTTGAAGTATTCTGAAGTTGGTAAAAATCCCAGCCTTGCTTGCCCCAGCTGACAACCCTGCAGTACACCTTAGGACAGAGAGACCTCATGACCTCTGAGATGTGTAGTTCTTGGCATTTACCTGTTTGACACATGCTGTGCCCAGCGCTATTGCTCTGAGTTGCAATATGACAAAGAAAAATCTAATTAACTTCAATGTGAAAAGCAGCAACACAGAAGGTAAGGCAGCCTGTAGCTTCCTCAGGAAGCTGCCTCTCGGGAGCAGATCCACGACCTGAGGCTGAACCCAGGAATGAACCAACTCACAGTGTCAGGATGGGCTTTGACGCAGTTGAGAACAGGCTCACAACAAGGATTTCCTGCTGACCAGAGCAACTACCCCAGCTCAGCACTGCCAATGGAAAGGACTGGGTGCAGAGCCACAGCCTGCTCTTCCACTTCCCTGTAGTGAATTGCTTTCACAGGCCAGCAGAGAATCCCAGCACAGGAGATCTGGAGTGCCAACTACCCAGAGACCTTTAATCCCCGCCTTTCTCCTCTCCCTTTTAAGTAGCTGCAAACTCTCCCTTTCAGCCACATCTTAAATTTCTACCTGTCTGCTGAGAGTGTTTTACACCAAGCTGCACCTGTGCTTGGTGCTGACTTCTCAAACCAACTCGAATAAAACTCACATTATTTAATATTCTAGGGAGTACACAGACATTATGTGCTACACTCTACAGTACTGCATTTTGTAAGAGATTTTCTTCAGGTCTGATTTTGACTTTATTTTTTTTTAATTGGTAACTTTGCTCCTCGAGGTTTACAGTCAGCGAAAATGAAGACACAGCCTACTCTACCTGAAAAGAGCTGCCAAGGTTCCTCACATTAAGTGAGAATGTAATTAACATTACCATAAATTTTATTATTACAATCCCACCACATATATATGAAATAATTTAGAAAACCAAGGTCATTCAGGTCCATATTTATTAGTAAACCTGTGCACTGTCAATGCTCATGGTGATGCCTGAAAGAACACAAATAGAACACAGTCTCCATGTTTCAGATATAAGTTTTTCTCAGTTAACATCAACATCCCAGATCAGCTTATAAAACCCCACACTGGGGACTGTAGTCCAGCACAAGAGAAGGAATGACTTGAGGGTGTTATCGATCTGACACACAAAGACCAGTGTTCATTAGAGCTCCCGGGACGGTCTCTCTTACAAGCCCAGTTTGGTCCTCCTCCAGTGTCTCCTTTTGGAGTTGTACCTAAGACAAAAGCAGAGTGAATTAGCAAAGCACACACACGTATTTGTTAAACACAAAAGCAGAACAGCACATGGAAAAAGTCTCTTCCATGAAAGCACATTAATTTGTGAGCATGTAATTGTCCATGTTAAGAACAAATGCTTTCACCACGGTGAGGCTGAAAGCACAGACAGTGTTAACAGAGTTGCTCTCAGCAGGAAAATGGCAGCACTCCCACAGCAGGAAGCACTGCAATTGCAGCCTGCTTTAACACAAAGCTTGGACAGAACCGATGGCCCAGCTACTCAAGTGCCAGGATACAAAAAAAATGTGATTTTGCCCTATGGTCAAGTATTTCACAGTACTGCAATTTAGCTAAAACAGAACCCAGTTGTAAGCTGGCATGGGGAAGACAAGGATCTGAGTGCACACACCACTGACCCTGTCTAGAAACAAGTTGGGAGCAGCTACAGGAGGAGAACCTAGCAATGTTGTGCTGGGTCACTGCCTGAGCCAGCCAGTGCTGCTGCTGCTCTCCTCACTGCTTAGAACAAAGACAGAAAGAGAAGACGGAACTCTGTTGCCTTAAAAAGCCCAGATGAAGGAGTGTATGAGATAAAAAAACTATGCTGCAGTTTTCAACCAGAGAGCTTGGACAGGCACCACTCTGTGCATGCCCCATGTGTACCCAGTGTGTCACAGTACTCAACATTCTCCTAAGCACAATGCTCAAAAACAAACACAACAGGAAAGCAAGAAACTATGGCAAATTAATTCTACAGTCAGGTACCAAGCATCTCATACTAACAATCTGATTTCCCATATATCCCATAGTCCTTTGCTCCCTTACGCACCATCCCCTGAACCTCGGAGCACGCATGCTCAGGAACTGCTCCTTGAAAATGCAGGAGCCCATAGGGACAGCTATGAGAAGAGGAACTGAGAAGCTACCAGGGAACAAAATCTGGAATAAATCATCCACACGTACAGTTCAGGTTTTCACTTTACACGTACCATCACTGAACGTCTGTGGACACTTACAGAGCGCTGGTGCAAAACCACGACAGAAGGAAATGGCACGGAAGCCCCAGACTCTCTCAAGAGGCTTCACTTACCCTACCATCCCTGGATGGCCCTCACGGCCACAAAACTGCGCTTTGCTGGCATAAACACCATCAGCTCCCGCCTTCGGCCCGTGCCGCCCAGGCCGCCTGACTGAGCCTGCGCGGCCGCAGCTCCTCAGGAAGCATCAGCCGAGCTCGTTACCTGATCTTATTGCCGGTTTTCATACGAATCCACTGCGGGATGGGCCGGTTCTGCTTCTGCTTCTTGGCGAGGAAGCGTTTGATCTTGAACGTCTTGTGCGACGACTGCAAGAGAGCGCAGAGGTCAGTCCCTCACACAGCCCCGGCCCCGCCAGGCCTCGGCGAGCCGGGAATGC